TGCATCTCATTTAATGATCCAAAATAATTTTCAAATTATTTTCTAAAAATAATACAGACTTTATATTTCCAGAAAACCCAAGTCCAGCATGGTATTGCAGTGTTTAATATCATTTCAGAACAGTCATAAAGCCTTGTTTTTAACATTTCTTCATCTTTAAATGAGCCTAGCATTATTTCCCTAATGATCAATAAATGTAGACATGTAACAGTCAAGATCTATGCCAATTAATCTGGAAATGGTGGAAAAGTAACTTAAAGAGAGCATTGCTCCTCAGAAATAAATGCAACAATTTGAAAGAATTCATGGGATTCCAGGGCTTTACTGCCACCAAGCCAAGTCACAAGACTAAATTTCAAAACAATGTAATCAAGCATTTAAATGACTTATCTGAATGCTGGATGCTTGGTTTAATAAAGCTGGGACAACTTGCCTAACTGCCTGAGTGTTTCACATTTCATGGGTTTTTATGGGACTGTGTAGACACTAACTAGAAGACTCTATGATCTATTTTTATTAAACAAAAATTGTGCGGCTGCGCGCAGAGGCTCACACCCATAATCCCAGCACTTTGAAAGGCCGAGGCGGGTGGATCACTAGAGGCCAGGAGTTTGAGACCAGCCTGGCCAACATGGTGAAGCCCCATCTCTACCAAAAATATAAAAATTAGTTGGTTGTGGTGGTGGGCTCTTATAGTCCCAACTACTTGGGAGGCTGAGGCAGGAGAATCACTTGTACCCAGGAGGAGGAGGATGCAGTGAGCTGAGATCACACCACTGCACTCCAGCCTGGGTGACAGAGTGAGATAAAAAAATTTTTAAAAATTATGCATAGTATTGTACATGCCTTGAATTTATATAATGCTCTCTATTATGGCATTTTACAAGAGAGAAGATTTAAAATGTGCCATCTGACTTGCAAGTAAAAAGAGCATCTCCAAAACTATACTAGTTACTGTGAAAATATAGCAGCAGACAACTTGTTCCTGGGAAACAAAAGGATGATTACAAAAATCCATCACAAAAAGCTCATCTGAAAGCCTTATCCTGCAAGAAAGGGCTCAGTCGTTAAGAGTTCTGCTCCTTATATCAGTTCTTCCCCTTACCACTTCCTCCTGGTACTGCCTGATCCAGGTTACAGGTGCTTAGGCCATTTTAAAGAAGAATGAGAATGTACCAACATGCAATGGGCATTTTCTTGGAGCATGTGAATCCATTCTAAGAGTTAGTCTAAGACTGATCCAAAGAAGTTAAGAGGAAAGCGGCCGGGCATGGTGGCTCAGGCCTGTAATCCCTGCATTTTGGGAGGCCGAGGCAGGTGGATAATCTGAGGTCACGAGTTTGAGACCAGCCTGCCCAACGTGGAGAAACCCCGTCTCTACGAAAAATACAAAAATTAGCCGGGTGTGGTGTCACGAGCCGGTAGTCCCAGCTACTGGGGAGGCTGAGGCAGGAGAATCGCTTGAACTCGGGAGGCGGAGGTTGCAGTGAGCTGAGATTGCGCCACTGCACTCCAGCCTAGGCGACAAAAGCAAGATTCCGTCTCAAACAAACAAACAAAACAAACAACACCATCCTAAAAGAAACAAAATAAACATAATTAGGCCAAATGGAATGGGCCTAATAACTTCACCTAAAATGAAAATCTGATCTCAAAAGTGTACCTATGGGAGTAAATGTGTTTTTAATATTTTATCTTATTTTCTTGTGCTGCATGATTTCAGTGTCGGTTCTGTTTCTCTTTAATTCCAAAAGAGCTGCATATTTAAGGATTTCTTCAACTCTGTGACAAGACAAATTAAGGATAGTTTTGAAGAGATAAGCTCTTCAGAGACTAAAGAACTCATTTTAAACTTTATCTTCTGAAAGCACATTAATATTTTTATTCTGAAGTCTGTGGTTTTAGGGTAGACCAAACAGCGTTGACAACAACTTAGTAATGATTCTAGTAACCATGGCACCTCCTTCACCTTTTAGCTAGTGTATAATTAACATTTTAACATTTTTTCCTGAGTAGGAAACAGTTGTCCAGTATTACTGCCTCTGCACATTTTGATCAGCTGCCAGCTGAGAAACCTCTGTGGCAAAACTTTATAAGCTTATCTCTTGGTTCATTTGGGTTAATGGCGGGGAGAAAGAAAGGACAGTCTTCAAGTTGATGCTAATTAAAATGATTGCTATGACTCCTCTCCAAGGACTACTCTTTCAGTTATAAAGTGCATGTGTAAATGAAGCACCCCAGGCATCTGCAAATTCAGAAAAGCAAGTCACAACCCCTGAGGCTTTTTTTTTTTTTTTTTTTTTTAACTGAGTTAACATACAACAGGCTCAGCTGGAAAATAAAATGGTGAGGGAATCTGTTTACAAGAGCTCTTTAGATTTTCTTGTAGGATAACCTGTTTTGAGGAACAGTGGGAAAATATGTATATATATATTTTAAGGGCAGTTAATGGAAGTTGGATTTCACATTTGTGGGCCACAGTTCTGAGCTGCCATTTAAATTTTTCATAAAGGGGGCTTCTGCTGTTTTGGGGAATATTAGTGCCATCACAGCTACTGCCACTGTCCCATTCATGAACCAAGGGCATCTTACTACAAAGCACTCTCTACCAGAGGTCAGTCTCCAGCCATTGCTCAAGTTGTGCATAGGGCAGGCCCATTCAGGGAAATTAGGCTTCCTGGAGCAGCCATCCGTAAATGGCAACAGAAATACCACAAGCCTCCTTGGTTCATAGGTAGAACGGCTCTGAGATGTTCCCTCCACTGTCTCACAGAAGTTCCCAGTGGGACTGTACTCCAGTAACCCTCAGGTGGTAACCACCTATTATGCAACTTCTACTGGCTTCCTTCCCTTTTATGTCCTATTTCCTCATTTTCCTTTCAGTAATTGCTGGGATCACCTACCAAACAAGCTACGTGTGCTCAAATCCTTGATTCAGGATCTCCTTTGCAAGAATGCAACTCAAGACAAGTGCTATTGCTAAGATAGAGCTATAGAGATACTCTAGTTCGTACGGATCCAAATAAATCACTTCTCATTTTATTTATCTCCTCAACTTCCTTAATTACAACACAGAAAAAGGAGCCCCAGTAAAATATGCAAAGCTTGGCAACACCTAAACAATACACAGGATCATCACATATCTGACACCAAAACATTAATAAATGTTCATGGGATTTTGGCAAACAAATCAAATTTTAAAAGAACTTACTTCCAAGCATTTCATATCACTTGTGATATTGTCATACAGTCACAAGGATATCTAGGAATTTAGGTTAGACACCTATAAACTGGAAACATGATTAGTTCATTGAATACTAAACAGAGAATAAGTCATTGTCTCCTCTCCATGACATATTTCAGTTGAAAATGGAAAATCTGAATGTAAAACATTTAGAATATTCACTTCAAATAATGCATACTCTATATTTAACTATTTAGAGGAATTACCACTTTTTTTTTCTGCTTTCAACTAGGTGTTTGCCAAGCCTTTTCCAATATTGGGCTTTGTATTGTTATTAAACAATGCCTACAAGGCTCTTTCCTCAACCCTCCTGAGTCTTTTAAACACACGTATATTCTATTGACATGCATAATCAAGTAGAAAACAGAAGCTTTTAACAGCACAAATCAAGCTCTCTCTCTCATTCCCCAAATTTGTCCTGATTATCTGGACACTACAAGGACATGTACTCTTTTAGCCCAAACCATTCAATTGTTGAGGTTACTTTGAATGTGACTACACATGCAAACCAGATAAAGAAAACAAACCGAATTCAATAAACTCACAGGTTATTTACAAAATATTAACCCAGTTGTTAAATAGTTGCAGCTGGTCAGAGAAAAGGGCTGATGAAACTTATGCCACAGACAGCCTCCCAATATTTCAATGAATTTTGTTCCGTATTATAGTTGCAGATTTCACAATTTAGCCAAACACAAGTGCATTATTTTCATCACCCTTAAGAAAACCCTTATAATCCTGAAGTAATTTAGTAGATGTCCCTCAGTAGTTTGTGGTCCACAGTTGTAGTTTTGTTCTCTTGCTTTTATTAACGTTCTCCAAAACCCTTTGACTGTCATTCTGCTACAAATTTGAGTGTTTACCTCAGAAAGATTGACTATGGCTACCACGGGGAAAGCTGAGAGTGAGTCCAATTTTTTTGTTGTCTGTTTGGCTTTTTCTGGGTTGCTTAGAATACCAGATTTTAAAAGATGGACTAAGTACCATCTCACACCAGTTAGAATGGCGATCATTAAAAAGTCAGGAAGCAACAGATGCTGGAGAGGATGTGAAGAAATAGGAACACTTTTACACTGCTGGTGGGAGCGTAAATTAGTTCAACCATTGTGGAAGACAGTGTGGCCATTCCTCAAGGATCTAGAACCAGAAATATTTGACCCAGCAATCCCATTACTGGGTATATACTCAAAGGGTTATAAATCATTCTACTATAAAGACACATGCACACATATGTTTATTGCGGCACTGTTCACAATAGCAAACACTTGGAAACAACCCAAATGCCCATCAATGCTAGACTGAATAAAGAAAATGTGGCACATATACACCATGGAATACTATGCAGCCATAAAAAAGGATGAGTTCATGTCCTTTGCAGGGACATGGATGAAGCTGGAAACCATCATTCTCAGCAAACTAACACAAGAACAGAAAACCAAACACCACATGTTCTCACTCATAAGTGGGAGTTGAACAAAGAGAACACATGGACAGAGGGAGGGGAACATCACACACTGGGGCCTGTTAGGGGGTGGGGGGCTAGGGGAGGGATAGCATTAGGAGAAATACCTAATGTAGACGAAGGGTTGATGGGTGCTGCAAACCACCATGGCACATGTATACCTATGTAACAAACCTGCACGTTCTGCACATGTATCCCAGAACTTAAAGTATAATAATAATTTTTAAGAAAAGATGGACTAAGAAAAGAAAAACGAGAAAGAGAACAAATTTTGCCCTTCTTTTCTCCTGAAAGCATATGACCATTGCCGGACTTCTGAAATCTAAATCAGATAATCACTGCAGCTAATAGGTAAGTAAGTATAAACAAGTACCTCAAGCCTTGGTATAAACCATGGCTTTCATATTCTTCATTTATGTTGACTAAAATTGAATTCAAATTGCATTTTGTGGTATTCTGACTTCTTCTAAGGCTTGTGCTTCTAGGAAATAAGGGAACCCAGGCTCTTTCTATGACCACTGCTGATACTGTCACACTGTGTACCTGTTCTTCATCCTTTTCCTCTGATTCTCCTCAGCACCTGCTCCTACCTTCCTGGAAAATTGGGATTCTATGAATTAGATGGAATGAATGTGTTATATACCAGCAAGAATCCAAATAGAAAGATATTTTGGAAAGAGACATGCAATAAGAGTATGCCATTTGGAATACTAAATATTTTATTGATGTAACAGAGAAAAGACTAATGAAATTGGCATGTTAGGCAAAGCTAAGAGAGATCCCAAATATTTTAGAAGTCAGAATTGAGACAAAATGAAGTCCTGATAAATCAGACAAGCCGTTCTGGCTTCAAAGAAGACAATGATAAAATACTGAATAATAAATAATACAAAGACTCCTCATAGAGAAATTGATAAAGCTGAAGAAAGTAAAACTGTTTTCCTCTACGTAAAGGGATTTTAAAAACTGAGATAGAATAAAAAATAAATGTGCAAAAAATTCTATAATGTTATTCAACTTGAATGTGTTAAAATATATTAAAGTGAAACTTTGTGAACATATTATTATTGAATGAGGGTTGTTTAGATAGTAGAAAAATCACTAACTTTAAAGTCAGAAGAGGGATTCAAATCTCGGTTCCTCCATTTTCTAGTTGCATAATTGTAGATTAATGATATATATTATTTTAGCCTTTTCTTTAGGTATGAAACTGAGATAATAACATTTGTTTCACAGGACGTTGTAAGGGTTAAATGAGCTAATGTAAGTCAGTGGTTCTCAAATGGGTGATTTTTTTTCCCCTAGGGGACATTTGGCAATGTCTGAAGACATTTTTGTTGTTGTTGCTGCAATGGGGTGGGGTTGTGGTGTAAGTACTACTGGTATCTAGTGAGTAGAGGCCAGGGATGCTATAATATTATACTAAGCATTCTACAATGCATAGGACAGCCCCTTATCAAGGCTGGGAGAACCCTTGTGAAGTGCATAGCCGTTACCTGGTATGTAGTAAACAAGAGTATTAGTTTCATTATTTAACTTGAATAAGAATACATAGAATCAACTTAATTTTTCTCAGAAGAGACAAGAGAAGAAAGCTGTAAAATTAAGTTGAGCCAAACATGCTGACAGTGATACTGGATATAACCACTGAAGGTCTTTGTGGGACAAACTAAAATGCCCATTTCAAACTTTTTAAACACTAAAAACAAAAAGGTAACATTTGAGCAATTAAAAAGTGTTGAGACCATTACAAAGTTGTTTTTGCTGGGGTGATGAGAGGCCTATGGAAAATTTTAAACTACACAAACAAATAACACTGGATTTAACACATTTCAAGGTATTAAAGCTATTAAGATTATTAGACTGTGAACTATGCTACCAAGGAAGTGCCAGATCTACCACCATTTGAGACACTTAAAACTCAACTAAAACATTACAAAGTATATCTCTAGGAAAAGGGAACTAGCAAAGAAGGGGATCAAACTGCTAATTCAAGAGGTTTTTTTTTTTTCTTTCTTTCTGATATTTGTATTTCAGCAGCTATTTTTAAAATGGTAGGAGGCAAAATGTCAAATTGGAAACAAGTTTCATGAGACGACCCATAAAATTACTTACCTGATCACTTTGGCAAAGACCATGGAAATTGACAACAGCTTACTATTGTAAAAAAAATTAAAGGTGTTAAAGAGTTTCCTCTTCGATATTATAATCAAATTAGCTTTAGTATCTACAAAGTAGACAATGGACTTGACTTTGAGCCAGAAAAAATTTTTTTCAGACATTAACAACCTGGAAATGATCACATAAAAGATAATGATAAAATTCATTGTAATAATTTTTATATTGAATGCCTATCTCATCTTAGTTGCAGTTTACCTCATGAATGGCATATTAATTCACAAATCTTTTAAAATATTTAAGGATTAATGTTTGAGAAGAACTTTGTAAACTGACAGCATATGTGTATATATATATACATATAAGCGTACTATGCTTCATCCTCTTTAATAAGAAAGCCATTTGACAAGAACCGTCTCAACTAATTAAAACAAAACAAAATGTACACAAATTCACGAGGTAAGCAAAATATAGAAAATGCAGACAAGTCAGGCTATGTGACTTGCTGAAGGCTACTTGGTATATTTATAAGGCAGAGGTAGTGTGACAAAATTAGATTTCCCTGACAACTGGTCTAGCACCCTTTCTGCTGTTTTGACTGCCTTCCTTCCACTCCTTCCAAGTAAGTGCTAATAAACGAAAGAGAAAATTCTTAAGTCTTATATTATCCAGGCATCTAAATGTTTGTTTCCCTAAATTTTAAGCTCCTGGTTCATGGTTGAGTCCCTACATGTAGCAGTTGGGCATTTGATAAATATGTTGAATTAATAAATAAAAATTGAGATTTTGCCAGATTCAATAGACTACTAGAGTTCAGATGAGATGGATGTTTTTTCTTAAGACTATCCATTAGTCAAGACAATCTCTGCCCTTGGTTAAGTCTTTTTGAATTAGCAGCTATGAATTGTCAAGTCTTGTCTAAATTAAGACGTGTAATGTATGAAAGTGTTCTGAAGTAGAAGAAACGTATAATGATTTGTTCTATTTTCATCACCATTAGCTGAAAGCTGGAATCTGTTAGTTAAAAGAAAATATTACTGAACACACAATGGAGTTGACAAGGGGGAATACCTTAGTAATTTTCCACTACTGGAAAACTGGTCATGTAAAGAAGCATTTGGTTTATGCTATATGATCCAAGAGGGCAGAACTAAAACCAAATGATTTTGGTTTTGGATTAGCAAAGACTATCCCAAAGTGGAAATGGCTTCCTCTGTGAGAAATGATTGTCTCATTTTTGGAAGTGTTCAAATGGGGATGGGGGCCACGATTCACTGGGAAAACTGTGAGAGAGATTCAGACATTGAGTAGAAGCTGGGTCTAACAAACTCAAAAATTCCATCTTTGAGATTCTATCATCATGAGAGATAAAGGGATATAAATTAGTGAATTTGCTACCTAGCTCTCTACCTCAAAAACTAGTACTATCTAAAAAAAGTTGTACTTAAAAGAACATTTCAACAGACTTTGTTATCAATGGGGGTCACACTTTATTAAACAGTGCAGTCAAAATGCACTCATGTTTAGCCAGACTTTTCCTATTTGGGCACATTGTTTCTAATTGAAAGTAAGATAGATGGGGTACTGAAATCTAAACAGCGCCAGTAATGGCTTCTAATTATTTTGTTGTAAAAACATAGCCATTTTTTCTCTTTTAATGGCTGTGTTTTCCTGCTGTTTCCAATTGCAAAAGCTTCGTTGAGAAACTGTGTGAAATATTTCCTAGGTAATCATTTGGCTAGCCCCAAATGACCAATTTATGACAGCTACGCTAAATAATATTACCGAAATTCAGTGGTACTGCCCAGTCACAGAAGTGAGTATAAAATACACTGCAATTTAACTCTCCCTGCAGGATCATGGTTGTAATCTCACTGTTGGAGAAACTGCTTACTTCCCAAATGTGTTTGCAAAACACCAACTGACCAAAAGAGTGATACATTCAATTAGTCACATTAAGATGTACTCACAAAGTACAAGGCTCTGGCATGGGCTAGAAATGATTATTTTTCCAAAACGGCATTTTTTAGAAACAATAGTATGCATAAGCATAGTCAGTGGATTCGTTAAAATGCCCAGACATCAGTTCCACTCCGGATTTTCGGATTCAGCAACGCTGGGATAAGGCATAGAAATGTATATTTTTTAACAAGCAATGCAGGGGAGACCAAAGGAAGTGGCACATGGACTATATTTTGAGAAACACTGGCAAGCCTTCTATATATTATGCTTTAGTTTTTCCCAGATTATGAGTTATAAACATAGTTGCTTTCCATGTGTAAATGTTTTTATTCAGAGTTATGCTACTTAGGAAACTTAAATATAATTTGATAACCCTTCCTTTGGAACTGATCATTATTCTTATATCCATTTTTTGGAGCAGAAAACTGAGACACAGAGAATTAATCTCAATTCTCAACCTCTCCAAAACTGAATTACCTCTGGTTAGCAAGTAAGCTTGGCTTTTGTACTGCTGAGACCCTAGAGAAGCCCTGTCCAATAGAACTTTCTATGATGATGGATATGGTCTGTGACATCAAAGATAGCTAATAGCTAATAACTCTGTGTGGTTATTGAGAATGTGCAATGGCGCCAGTGTGACAGAAGAACATTTCTAATTGTAGTTGATTAAAATTTAAATTTATGTAGGCACATGGGGCTAGTGGCTACTGTTTGGGGTATCAGCTCTAGATAGGACTTTTGGGAGATGTAATGTTTGGGGGCAAACTCTTAGAACTGTCTCCTGAAACAGGGTGAACAACGGGAAAAATGAGGAAGACATTAGGAAGATGGTGGAAGTTCATGTAGTGCACCTGGAAAAGTTTTTTTTGTTGTTTTTTGCCCACCAGACAACAAGCCACATGCCCAGTATTTTGTTGGACTAAGCTACCACGCTTTCAACAACCTTATGTAATAAAACAGATGCCTTTACCTTCTGACTAAATTCAGTCTGTTGACCTGTGTTTCTCTCTCTCTCTCTCTTTTATAGATGCTGGCCTTTTTGCAGTGAGTTACATTTAATATACACTTACTGAAAGCACACATCTTCACAGCTGAAAATTAAAATAAAATGTATTCCATTACAATATTGGTGACATCTCTTCTAATAGATCTTGTAAGCTGTATCTCCCAAGCAATACCGCTTTTGGTCACTTTCTCAGTTCTTCACATGACATATTCATTGGTAGTGAAATGTCTTAGTAAGGCAGGTTTAAGAGAGAAGAGGGAAAACAAATACTGAACCAGTATCCAAGAATATGGCAAAAACAAAAGAAGCAAAAGAAAGATGGAAAAATATGAGATTTTAATTAAACTATAAAAATGTTACTGATTTTTATCCCATTCATTTTTCTTGAAAGACTTTACTCTTTATTCTTTCCTTCTTTCCCATACCATGTACAATCATACCATGGCAGTTTCCTAAAGTCTAAATGTTAGCAACTCTGGTTGCATATTAGAATCACCTGGGAACATTTAAAAACTACTGACATCCACATTCCACTCTTGGAGATTCTAGTTTATTTGGTTTGAGGAGGAGCCCTGGAACAGCATGCTTTAAGATTTTTGTGTTTTAGACATCACAGGATTTCAGAAGAGGAGGGGAATTAGAAATCAATGAATCAACTCCTCTTATTTTGCAGATGAGGCAAATGTGGTCCAGAGAAGGGCAGCGACTGGCCCAAGCTCATGTAGTTAGTTATTTGTTCCTGAGCTAAGGCCACAGTTAAAGGTATGATTCTACTCTAATTCTTCTAGAACAGTACACTGCAACCTACCTTTATCTAGACATGTTTCCTATTGGTCCTACTCTTCCTTATACAATACCAGTTTTGCTTTCCCTGTGGAGTCTACTTCAAAATTTTCTTAGGTTGTATGATGCATTTGTACTGATTAGCCACTTGAGAAGATTGTTATATTTACCTTTGGGTAGACTGTCTCTACCTAGAATATCGCAAATAAGGTGGTGGTATATATTAGGTCAGAGCAGTACTTCTCAATCTTGGCTGTGCATTAGAACCATATGAGGGATTAAAAAAATACTGATGTCTGGGTCTCCTCTCAAACCTAATAAAAGCGGCATCTGTATACATGGGCCTTTGGCATTGGTATTTTATAAGTTTCCCGGGGGGGAAAAGTTTCCCAGGGGATTCTAACGTGCAGCCAAGGTTGAGAACATCTGGACCAGAGGAAGATGTAAAGGAAAACTTTGAATTATTAAGTGCTGGATGGTCAGAGGACATAAATGGTTATGCTGACTATATCGCCCCCTTTTCTGTTTCCTCCAACTAATTTAATATAAATTTGCCATGTTGGCTTTACAAAGAACTCACAATTTGGGTAGTTGCCATGATTACCACAAATGCAAGGTCATAGTGGGGAATACAGAAAATCAGTATTTCCTTCACAGTAAAATGTGAGCTATGTTGAGCTCAAAGACCCAGCGACTTTTTCAGTAGCTCTGAGAGGCCTGTTTTATGTTTGGTTTCATTTCAGAGGTATTGTTCAGACCCAAGAGCCAAAGCTAGGAAATGATTTTTAATTTTTCTTTTGAAAAGTTTTCTTCAAAAGAAAAATACTTTAATAAGACCTTGATGATAGTATTTTATGTAAAATGAGTTGGTTCAAGATGGAGCACAACCATCAAGAAGTATACTCTAAAGAAAGAGAGGTGTGGAAGGGTGTCCTGGTCACACAATTTCAAGTAACACTGAGCCACAGGTATATTTCTTTCCTCCATGGTAACTGATCTGTAGCACAGTACTTGTTAAAAAGGACATTGAGTCAGAGGGAGAAGGCAGAGAGAACTTTACAGTCATAAGGTTGATCTGTGGTTCCAGGAATGTTATTCCAAAATATCCTATGGCCTGAAGGTGCCTAAACAGCCAGTGGGCTCTCCCTCCTTTGTAAAGATATCACATACTGCTGATCCTTGCTTCTATTGAGCACTATTCTTAACAGCTATTCATAATCTTTAGGGACTAGACACTAAGAACAGTGGTGACTCTCAAGGTTAGGTAAGTAGGAAAAGAAGATGAGATTGGAAAGAGTAATAAAGGGAGAAAGTTTTTATAATATACATGCCTATTGTATCAGCATTGCTGGTGGGAAGTCATATGCATATTTTATAAAATAAAATCACCCAACATACTCTGGTACTTATGAGGTTCCAGTGGAGAAAGATTTCACTAAGAGCAGTCTTTTCAACTTTTTCAGTCTACGGCCCATCTTTACTGTGAAATCCCACTGTCCACAGTGAAAAAGAATTCTACGATTAGCAAGAATTATAGAGACGCCAAATAAACAACTTGTAGTAAAAATTTTTTGTTGGCAATGTATATGAATCTCATTATGAACTCTCAGAAATATGAGTTTTTAAATAAGATTCTGAGAGTCCTTGTACATTTTTGAAGTTTAGGAATCCAACTTCCCAAGAAATGAAGGAACAATGAATTCATATTTGAACTTCAATGCATATACATCTTAACTTCTAGTTATTGGAAAATTATATATAAAAAATATTGTTGATGCAAATATGTATCCCTACTCACTGTAAGGTGAACAAACAACCATTCCCAAGCGAAATTAATAATGATGAAGCGAAATTGGCAGCATTTATAATTAAAATTCAAGGATTAGAGTAATTAAACACCACAATCAAATGAAGACAGCACTGATGATAAACTCACTGATTACAAATTGCCCTTTCTGAAATCTGGTGGAATTCCAACTACATATATAGTTAGAATCACATGTGGCAGCCCCATTTCTAGAGTGCAAATGAAAATCTTTAGTAGACTCTAGCAATCTACTAGAAAGAACAAAGCTGCATCTTGATTATTTTGTTATACAAATGCAAGGATGCTTTCAAAAGTTCTGGAGTAGTATCAAAGGGAACCAACCTAAATGGGCTCCCAGGGGTCAAACAGTGGCACTGGATCATGAAAAGAAAATAATAATTGTAGTCAACAGTATTTCTGAGCATGAGATCTATGATCAATAGAGAAATACTAATAGGTATCATCATAAGATTTTCTGCTGCAATGCAATGGCCATCTGTGTGGAAAATGTTCATAGATTAGATCATATTTTGGATACTATTACAAATATTAATGGCCTGCAACGAGGCATTCAATTACTGGCTGCAAAAATAGATGTTATTGGGCTACAGCCTAGGGACTGGATATATTAATATTTCAAAATTCAGCAGAAAGGACATCACTTCGATAGCACTGGATGGGACCATACTAAGTCCTTCTAACCACTCACCAAATGACAAGGTCTCATGCTTTTGGCCCTGAATCTTCATTTCCCCCTGTGAGATGTCTGCTGCACTCACTAAGAGCCTCTAACTCTTAGTTTCATGTATCACCTTATAATCATAAAAATAAATTGTATGTATTTTCTACTAGCCTACAATTTGCTCTTTAGAATTCTCACCTTGTAGATAAAAATTAAGATTATAATCATAGACTTTTCCTTGCCTTTTGAGAACAACCAACTCTCAGGAAAACTATGCTTCCTTGAATCCCCCCACAAAATCACCAAAAACCCCATATCCTATAACAACACTCTTCTCACACCCTCTTACTGAGCTGCCTCATGGTTTCCTATCAGGCACTGTCTTCCTCATTACAATGGGCCAGTAAGCTCAACTTTGTTCAGCCATAACTATGGTCTCTGATGGTCTTTGGCTGGAAGGCACTGATGTCGCAAATAAGATTTGACCTGGACCACTTTAAGAACAAGATGAGTTTGTGTCCTTTGTAGGGACATGGATGCAGCTGGAAACCATCATTCTTAGCAAACTGTCACAAGAACAGAAAACCAAACACCGCATGTTCTCACTCATAGGTGGGAACTGAACAATGAGATCACTTGGACTCGGGAAGGGGAACATCACACACCGGGGCCTATCATGGGGAGGGGGGAGGGGGGAGGGATTGCACTGGGAGTTATACATGATGTAAATGACGAGTTGATGGGTGCTGACGAGTTGATGGGTGCAGCACAGCAACATGGCACAAGTATACATATGTAACAAACCTGCACGTTATGCACATGTACCCTAGAACTTAAAGTATAATTTAAAAAAAAAAAAAACAAAATCAAGGGTTAACTTTAAAGCATACACTACAATTAAGTGTCTTCTGCTGAGAAGGAGAAAGAGGAAAGAGAGGAGAGAGACACAGGAGAGAGGAGAGGGAATAATAACCACTAAAGTAATTAAACCTAAAAAATTACCACAAGTTACTATGTTGATCTCCCTGGATTTGCTAATATAATTACTACCTTTCAATTCTAAGGTACAAGATTTTGTCATTCTGGATTGGAGGTAAATGTCAAAGAATAATTAACTAAGATCAAAATGATATACCTTTTTCTACTCAGTATTCATTATACAAACGATTTTAAATATTGGGTGTGTGCCCTTAATATTCAGGGCTCTAAAAAAGAAGTACCTTCTTTTTTTTTAATTGAAAAAAAATATGCATACATTTCAAATAGTGCAGAAAGTATTCATGGTTTAATTATCTGCGGGTTCACTGCAGAATCAAATTCAAAGCAAGAGGGTATTCAAAAGCCAAGAGGTGTGTGTGTGGAGAAGGACATGTGGAAATGTCCCTTTTAAGAAAACAAAAATATGAAAATAGAAATGTCTCTCTTTAATAAAAGAATCAGTTTTAATTAGAGAAGAAAATAAAGCTAATCACTTTGACTTAAAATACAGAGCCTCAATTATTCAGATGGGGTCTGCAAATAACTTCGACTGTGATGCTAAGAATGGTGAATTTATAATCTGGTAAACTAAGAAGTTGCTTTGAAAAGGTAACTAATCAGGATGAAGCAAATGTCTGAAGATTACGGTGTACTCTGCTATCTGCCTTAATTCACAAACTTCTTTGTTGAGCTTTTCTTCTTTTATTTGTAAAGAGATCCTCTCACTGTCAAACTGTTTTGCAACGAGAACCTGTCTTACCCATCTGACCTTCAAACAGGCATCATTGTGTAGGCATCATGGTTGGTGAGAAAAAGTTTTAAATAATTTAGGAATGTCATAAAATATGGTTAATGTGGAAAACAGTGA